GAAAAAGACGGCGCCGGTTTCAGAACATTATGCGACACTGGCTGATTTAGGTTGGCCACGACTGCTGCTAGCTTAACTGCTTAACTTAATGCTTTCTTGTTTTTGCTTTTTTTGCCAAGAAATCATTTGTATAGGCTGCAACTCTTGTAACCTTTTCCACTTTCATTTATGAAATATTAACATTCGTAGCAAAAAAAAATAGATCACCTACAAAGACACAAACAAAGTAAAATAAAATCAACTATTAATTTCAACATAAAACAACACAAAGTATCAATCTTTTAATTCTTGTCGGATTCTCATGGCGACAACAACATAAGACACTCTTTCTTTATTACCTCAACCATCTCAACGTTCCCTGCGCTCTCAAACAGCTGAGCGAGCTGAGCACTGTCAACATTAAAAGGAAGGTTACCGACGAAGAGTTTGAGGTCAGCAGAGAAGGACTGCTCCTGCGGCGGCGGGGGAGCCACGTCATCAGCGAAACTGCCGTCTTCTTCTTCGACAGAGAAGTCTTCCGTAACGGCCACGTTACGGAAGAAGCGAGAGTTGCATTTGGCGGAAGGGAAGAGGGAGTTGAGTTTGAAAGAGACGGAAGGAGGTAAGAGGGAGGAAGGTTTGGAGATGGAGAAAGGAAGGGAGTTAGGGTTAAAGGTGGAGAGAGCGAGAGACGAAGCTGAAGCTGCCATGGTGAATGTGATGAGAAGAGATAAGGTTTTTTTTTGCTTTAGGGGATGGATGCAGAGTGTTTGATATTTATGGGCGAAAAATTTAACTCTTTTGCGCTTGCACAAAATATCTTACATGGTTTTTTATTTACAATTTTATCCTAAAACTATTTTTTCTGCTAAATTAGGTCCAGCTTTGTTAATAAAAATTTTAATTTCTCAAATCTCAACATAGGAAAATAATATTTCACAATGAATAATGTGAAAACCCTCTTATTTACTTTAAATAATACTATGTTAATTTATTTTTATATACTTTTCTTATTTGGTTTATTTCTTACGTTTCCAATATTTTTGTGATTATATGCTTTTAATTGATTGTGTTTGGTTATCGTTTCATTGGACGGTCTCTACTAACTACTTGTCATAATGTGAAGTGAAGTGATGGGTGAGATGAGATTTGAGCCGTCGAAATATGGGATGGACAGTTGAGATGGCACGTCTCATGCCAAGGCAATAATCTGTAGAGAAGATAAGATACTTTAACTACAAGCCAATGAACGTGCCAGCACAGATATTCAATCAACTTGCTTGCTTCAGTAAGAAGTAGAAAGGTGAAAATCCTCATCAAAATTACCTTTCAACTACTTCATGAAAAAAATGACGGTGGTTAAAAAAGACTAAATCAGAAATTCGCCGGATCATTTCCATGCAAAACAAGTCTAGAGGAAAAAAGAGTTATTTCGATAACAACATAAGATCGAACTTGTTGAACTAAGAAAGATTCACCTCTTTCTATAGATAGGCAGTTCTTGCTTCCTTATCCTTTTTTGATCATTCTAGAAAGAACATCGGCTTGCTTTGTATTACCTTCTTGGTTTAAGCTCTTGATCAGTTCATCGCAGCTCTTCCATTTCGTTACACTTCCTTTCTACATGATCTTACAAATAACCGAGTACGCATTCAGAGTCTTTCCAGCTCCTACGTAACTCAGAAAACTATATCAATGCGGATATTATCAGTAGTGTCTCGTATGTAACTCGGAATTGATCATTGTATCTCTTTATCTTTTAACATGTCTATGTTCTTTTTTTTTTTGTAACACAACATGTCTATGTTCTAATGTTGTATTTATTACTTTATCAATAACGTTTCATAGAATGTTTGCCTGACTGACTTTTGACAACATTGTTTTTTTATCAGAAAAAAAAACTCCAAAACTTGAACGACAAGGAGAGATATATACACTACAAGTCTATGTCTTTAAAACACCAAGTGAACACGTTTTATCAAGTTTATGTCTCTTATGCGAGCTGTATGAAGACGAGGAGAGATCGACTCTAATACTATTAAGAAAAATAGTGTCTTTTTACGTTTTGCTTGTGAGTTGTGATTCCTTCAAGCGCAACAGGCTTTTAGGATCTCTTCAACAGGAGGGTCATCTCCAGCTTCTTTGTCCTGAAATGTTCCCACCAAACAAATCGTTGAATACAACATTATTTACCTCTTTGTTGATCACATGAGTGTAAACACAAAGATGAGTGTTCATTGATTAAAGTATTTGCAGAAATAGAAGAAGATTACCTTGCGGATGTAAGAGATGTTATTTTTCCCAGGGCCAGCAACTAGGATTCCACCTTGTTGCCTACACGAAGTGACAATGTTTAATAAGGATACCGAAGAGTGCTCCCTTATCTTTGAAACACAAGAAAATATTCAGACACTCTTTTTATAACTAACTTACCAGCCGCCTCTTTCAACAGTATCTTTCATAAAAGAGAGTTTCCAGTCTTGGCGGTATCCTTCCATGTAAGACTCTATTATCTTCAGAGCAGCCTATATATGATACCACACAAGTCACTGAGACCACAAAGACATGTAAGGTAACCTGATTTGTTAAGGAGAGAGAAGTCACTCTACTTTGGGGGTAAATGTCACAGAAACCCCTGAAGCAAATTTAAGCGCCTCGTATGACGCATGATTTGGATCCGCATACACCTCTGAGAGAGAGAGATAAATTGTTTATAGATTAGAATGATTTCAAAGAAGAAGTGAGCAAGTATACCTCCTTCAAATTTCGTCTGTTCCACAAAAGTTTTGGCCTGCATAGATGAGTTATATATATATATCATGAGACAATCTGTAACATCTTAAATAATTACTTACAACAAGTGTGTAAGCGTTACCTGATCGATACTTCCAGGTCCGATAAGAACAAGAGTAACACCAGATGCATCCATCACATCCTAACAAAATTCTCAGATACATCACTCAATAACCGAACCATCGTCAAGATTTTTGACGAATGTATGAATCATTACCTTCTTTTCAGCAAGATAAGCTGCTCGTTTCCGACACAGCACGCATCTGAAAACATGACAAAGCTTTTTTGATACTTCTTACATTGTAACAAGATTCATTCGAATCTAATTAAAAAAAGTTGTATAAAAAATATACTAATCACCCGAAATGACGAGCAAATGCAACAACGGCTTTCCTATCCTTCCATAAATCAGAGATGGGAATCTCATTTCCTCTCAAGTCCGAGACTTTCACTGTCTCCAGCAAACCAGCAGTTTCAGTTCCTGTCGGAGAATCGATACAATCTTGTCAGACATCTGGAATCTCACTTTCTACAGAACATAACAGAGACAGAAGAGAAGAGAAGGTGTTTAAGCCCACCTGAGGCGCCGGTAATGGCCGACACGACCACGGCGCTACGCCGGAGAGAGACACCGTGAGAATTCACCGAATAACCGAACTTTACTGTCCTTACGCCATGAATCGGTTTGAGCTTTGGCTGCAGCGTGATGGGAGTGAACGTCGAGGACGAAGAGAGAGAAACCGCCATTGTTGGTGGTGGCTCCGGGAAAGCTGAAATGAATCCTTTGTTTAACTTCATACCGTTGGTTAATCTCGTGGAGTTTGTTATTACACGTGTCCGATGATGTAAGCATGAATTGAAAGAGAGAGTAAAGGCCACGTCAGCTTATTACATCCAATCGGATTCATATATACTATGTTCGGGTCGGGTTTGACTAAATTTTGAATCTAAAATTTGAATTTTTATATCATAATAAACATAAAATTAAGTAGTAAATCTTTAGATATTAAATAACTAGTTTAGATATTACATCGGATTTTTAAATAAATTTTTTGAGATTATTAGGATTTTCAGGTTTTTCACTAGTATTCGTTTGAATTCTGATTGGTTCAGATAATATATTGTAAGGGCCTGACAATCAAATTCTTGTTATAAATGGTGGAAACAGACTCGATTGAAAAGCTGAACCGGACACAGCGTAACGCAATTTGAATGACAATAACAATCTTACTCCTTTAGAGAAGTCTCTCACATAGCATGAATCCAGAAACTCAATCCCTAGTGTCTCTTTTATTGTGTGACTTAGTACTTAGTAGTATTATCTCGGTGTATCTGAGTTAGAAACTAGTCTAAACTCTAATACTGTAGAATTTTTCATGAGCGTAGTAATCATATCGACATAAATTATAGTTGGTGTTCATAAGATGCAAAGATATTAAAGAATAGCAAAATAGTAGTATTCATCACTAAAACTGTAAATGTGCACAAGTGTATTTATGAACATTGATTAAGGCTTAACTAACTTAGTGTTTAACAAACAACTCTTGACCTAACAAACTGTTTGCTGGACCGTTAATAATGTCTAACACTAATAGTTGTTGCAAACTAACCACTGCTAACTTTGATGATTAATGTGTTCTCCCAACTGATATTTCGATCATTTTTTAGTATTTTGTATTGTTTGAGTTGCTAAAGTTCCATATAGTCCACATTAAGTAGACAATAATATTGTGAAAAGACTAACGTGACAGTGAATTTTTTGAGAGAGGTGAAATCGAGACTAACCGGTTTTAATTTCGGTACGGTTAAGCTCACATTTCTCCACTAAAATTAAGTTGGTATGGTTCAGTTCTCGAACAAAGCAAGCTCATGCGCGCGCTAACAACCAAACTAGTCCCCTTTATTATGTCGCTGGCTAGCGCGTTTTAAAAATCAGCAACAGAAAACGACGTCGTACCGTTGGCCGCGTTTTTCCAACTACCATTCAAAGGGCGTCTACTAAACTCAACTAACGTTCAACGAAAACTATTACTCTCCTCTCTCTCTTTCCTTTTCATCGCCTTCTTCATCACTATACACAACCTCATCTAAACTATCAGACCTTGATCCATCCAACGTACCCTACCTTGACACGTGTCCCTTTTGGTATCATCGAGTCTCAACAAACTGAACTGATACGACGGATACATCATCGCGCGGATTATCCTCGGATCTTCCTAACTCATTAGAAAACGGTTTCTTTCCTTAAAATCCTTTTCAGAAGTTCAGGTTTTGCTTTAAACTCTCTCCTCGTGAGTACTACTTTACCATCTTCTTTTGTCTCTCTTTTGTCTTATCACAAGTTTATGTCACATGTGTGTCTCTTTTTTTTGCATCCACTTTTCAAGCCTTATATAAGATCAAGATCATGTATGATGGAATTGATGTTGAATAATTTTATTATTAATTTTTTTTTTTTAAATCCGTGGAGGTGTCTTTCAGGTTTATTACTCTTTTTTAGGGGAATAATGGAGGTAATAGCAAAACCAGTGGCTTCAAGGCCTCCTTCATGCTCTAGGGTCAAGACATTCTCTGAGCTTTTGGCTGATTCAGTTACCGTATCTACCCAATCGAATTGTCACAAGACCCTTGACGCTTCTATAATACCAAAGACTGAGCCAGCTGCAGCTTCTGTCTCATCTCCACGGGTGATTCATCTTACCAGTCTTTATCTTCTTTCTTAAACTTCTCCGTTGCATTATTGACACTGATAATCTCAGGAGGAAGAAAATGGAAATGTAAAGGCTTGTGATTGTTTAGAGAACAGAAACTATGTTGTTTATAAACCTAAAGCGACGCTTGTTTCCCAAGCAACTATCTCTGCATTGGCTAATATGGTAAGTTGCTTTCTCAAGACTACAAGATCACGATAGTGTTCACAAAACTCTTCTCTTAACTCTCTTTTTATTTTGTTAATTTTATGGAAATGGTCAACAGACTTGGAGACAAAGCGAAGCAGTAGCAAATGGGAAGCGTGTGAGCCAAGGTACACATCGACCCGGTCCTAACCTAATCCCGAGAGTTCCAACCTTCACGGAATCAGAGACATCGACTGGGGGCAGATCTTCCGTGGACGGATATAACTGGAGGAAATACGGACAGAAGCAAGTGAAAGGAAGTGAGTGTCCAAGGGGTTACTACAAATGCACTCACCCTAAATGTCCTGTGAAGAAGAGAGTAGAGAGATCAATGGGAGGTCAGGTTTCAGAGATTGTGTATCAAGGTGAGCATAATCACGTTAAACCCTCTTGTCCTCTTCCACGACCACGGCGGGCTTCATTTTCATCCTCTTCAGGGTTTCAGAAACCATCTGAAGAAGGATCAATAGGGCAAGAACCTAATAATGTCTATTGTCAACCGCTCTGGAGTAGTCAAGGGAATGAATCATCTAAAAGCTTTACAGAGAAGATGAATGAAGGTTGTGTTATAACACCATTCGAGTTTGATTTTCTCGGTGGATCTTCGGATTCTGGCTGCAGAAGTAGCCAGTGTGATGAAGTAGAGCTTGATGATCCAAGCAGAAGCAAGAGAAGGTTAAACAGATAGATTATTAGGGTTTTTTTTTGGATTGTTTTCATACACACCACCTAAAGTTAACATTGAGTTTGTTGAACATAGCAGGAAGGACGAGAAGCAGTATAGTGAAGTGGGAGTGACGCAAAGCTCAGGGGAATCAGAGAGTCAAGATGATGGATTCAAGTGGAGAAAGTACGGACAGAAAGTGGTTGGTGGCAATGCGTATCCGAGAAGTTATTACAGGTGCACGAGTGTGAATTGTAGAGCAAGGAAACGCGTGGAGAGAGCGAGGGATGATCCAAGAGCTTTCATTACAACCTACGAAGGTAAACACAATCATCACCATTTGCAACTGAGACCACCAACTTCGTCTACACCACTTCCTTTCAACTCCTCACAACATTCTAATCAAGCCATTTGATGATCCCATTGTTGCTTCTCCAATCTTACATAGCCAGTTAACCTAATCATTTCTTCTTGTTACCATTCTGAATTTATTTTCATTGGAGGTTTCTTTGGGATGTTGCAAACAACCTAATGCTATAGCTTTCTTTTGTTATCAACAATCACAAAAGCCATTTCGTTATTGTAATCAACTAACTTTAGATTAATAATATATAGATGAAAAGATTATTAAATATGAAACTGTTTGATTAAGATCCTCAAGGTCTATTAAAGCGTCAAAACTTCATTAAAAGAAAATCTTCTTGAAACATACCCAAAACTACAGAAAACAACACAAAGCTCTTTTGAGATAAGAAAGATCCCTTAACGGTTGGCCTTGGCAACTCTCTCAATCTCATCTTTCTTCTTGATGGCATAGCTGCAAAGAGATGGCAAGATACGTTATTAGCTACCACAAATGTGAAGAGACAAGACAATGTAGAGAGTTTTTGTTTTATTACCTGTTGGAAGAACCTTTAGCAGCATTGATGAGCTCATCAGCAAGGCACTCAGCGATAGTCTTGATGTTTCTGAAGGCAGCTTCACGTGCACCAGTGGTGAGCAAGAAGATAGCTTGGTTCACACGTCTCAGAGGAGAGATATCAACGGCCTGTCTCCTAACCACACCAGCAGATCCAATCCTGGTCGCATCTTCACGTGGACCACTGACTCACCCCATAAACAAACATAATCAGAATATGATTCATAGTAGCAAGCACGCAAAAAAAGTACATGTTGACTTCTTACCTGTTAACAATGGCATCAATGATGACCTGAATAGGGTTGGCATCAGTCAAGAGGTGGATAATCTCCATGGCGTGCTTGATGATCCTGACAGCCATCAACTTCTTACCATTGTTCCTCCCGTGCATCATGAGAGAGTTAGTGAGCCTCTCGACAATAGGGCACTGAGCCTTCCTGAACCTCTTGACAGAGTATCTTCCAGCAGTGTGGGGAACAAAGGTTGCGTGCTTGGCAGGCTGAACACCAATGTAGTCAACAAGACTAATGTCTGTGACCTACATACACAAAATACACAAAAACAAATGTTACCTTAAGCATTATAAACACTAAGAGATGTTATATACAAAAAAAAACAGCATCAGGATCGACTACATTTATTGAGACAATAAATAACGATAAAGGTAACACTTTTAAACAAAACGGGTAGACTAATACATTATCCATCTTCAGGACTTACATGTAAATTCACACAGTGGAGCTAATGTAACTATTGTATAATATTAGACCAATAAGTAAATTTGAGAAAAAACAAAGGACTAGATTGCAAATGAGCAGAACCGGTGGAACACAAAGTAGATACTAAAGAGTTGAAGACAAAATTAAAAGACACGAGTCACACACACACTCTTATTAATCGTTTCAAATAGTAAAATTAGTAATTGATGAG